ATGCGTTTTGACCGGGGTTACATTTCACCGTATTTCATCACGGACGTCAAGAACCAGAAGGTCGAATTCGAGAAACCGCTGATCTTGCTGTCCGAGAAGAAGATCTCGGTGTTGCAGGACATCCTACCTTCGCTTGAAGCAGCTGCGCAGTCTCGTCGGCCGCTCCTCATTATTGCTGAAGACGTCGACGGTGAGGCACTTGCGGCATGCATACTGAACAAGCTCCGTGGTCAACTCCAGGTGGCCGCAGTCAAGGCTCCTGGGTTTGGTGACAATCGAAAGAGCATCCTTGGTGACCTTGCAATCCTAACCGGTGGTACCGTATTTACCGACGAGCTTGACATAAAGTTTGATCGCGCAACACCAGATCTACTTGGTTCAACTGGGTCTGTGACTATCACGAAGGAGGACACCATTTTCCTCAACGGCGAAGGTTCAAAAGATGCCATCCAGGCGCATTGTGAACAGATTCGCTCTGCACTGAACGACCCGACGACAAGCGAACATGATAAGACCAAGCTCCAGCAGCGACTTGCGAAGCTCTCCAGTGGAGTTGCTGTAATTAAAGTCAGTGATTCGAGCGAAGTCGAGGTAGGAGAAAAGAAGGACCGTTACGATGATGCGCTCGATGCTACTCGTGCGACTGTCGAGGAAGGAATTCCGCCGGGTGAGGGTGTTGCTTTGCTCAAGGCATCAATTTCACTTCCGACCAGTGGAGACTCAAACGCAGCTTCGTCGTCGTCCTCCGAGACTATCCCTACTGCAAACCTTGGCCAAGAACTCGATATCACGATCAACCGTGGCACTACGCACCAGGATGCACGGACAAGTCTCACTTCGAGGCACAGTGCACCAGAGCAATTTGCACAGGGCTATGACGCGAGTAAAGGTCAATACGTTGACATGATCAGTAGGAGTCGTGAGGACATCAGTGTACAGAGTGAAGGACGTACGCTCACACGCTTTGATGATGAAATACCACCGAACCAGCCTGTACTCCCACACACCCAGCCTGTTTCTGCATCTGAATCAAAGCATGTAGCCCCTAGACAGAATGACCCAGCTCTTTTGGACGCAATTTGGAGATTCAAAGTAATGTCTGAAAAAAAAGATATTGATCAGTTATTCCGGGGCCGTCTAACAGCTATGCTGGTGTTCCTACGCTTGTATGTTGAGAGTGAAGATATGGGTTGGATAGATGCATCTGTCCTTGCTGCCTCGTTAGCTGAAGACTGGGGGGTACATTTGGCTAGAAATCTTCGACGCTGGGTACGACTATAGTTGCTGAAGTCCGGTCCTGGTCCAGTCCGGGCATACTTCACCTGGACTCAGGACCAGACCAAATCTGCGGTCCGGGAGTGTCCCAGACTGGGGACCGGACCTATGTGGACGGGTAGTGGACCGGACCCAAGTTCCAGTCCGGTTCTGGACTGGTCCATAACTGGACCTGAGAGAAAAAAAATTTAAGAGATGAGTTAGAGTATTATTCTTTGTATCTAAGTACAAAAGTAATATATTTTTGTATATACTACATAATCTACAGACTAGACACTGTAGTGGTTTTCCTGACGCAATTCTGAGGCTTCAGTGCAAGCCTCGCGACACAAGTCCTGAAGCTGGACTACAACTGCCTCTAAGCTGGTTACTGTGATTTACAGACACTTAGTTGTCAGAACATGAATATTTAGGTACTTAGCAGCAGACGGACCTGTCTCTTCGAGGGTGGCAATATAGTTGGCACGGCGTGCACGGAAAGCAGCCTGAGCGTCGGCGTTCTTCTTCTTTCTGAGAGTGATTTCGGACATCTTGTCTAATTTGTCGGGGGCAGGGGCATTGGCTGGCTGCTTGACTGGGGAGGGCGGCTGGGACTGCGGCGTCTTTGGCATAGGACAGGAGAGGAGTGAATATGGAAGAGAGAGAGAGAAGTGTGGCTTAGCAGACTAAAAAGAGGGCGAAAATAGGAAATGGGAAAGAAATACACATAAAGGGAATAAATATTTCAGGAGACAATAACTAGATAGGAAGAGTCAAGTTTAGTAAGCCATACATTGAACAGTAAAGAACAGGAGTAAAGTTTTGCTTTGCTTGGACTGCCAG